TATTTATAATAAATAAATAAATAAATAAATAAATAAATAAATAATAAATAAGCTACTTGTTTATTTAATCATTTACTATATATTAAATAAATAAATAAATAAATAAATAAATAAATAAATAAATAAATAGACAATACAATGCATGCGCATGCATGCATCTTTTCTTCTTACCTCCATGACGGCGCAGCTGACAGAAGGGACAGTCAACTGTAGCAGGAGCAGCAGCAGGAGCAGTAGCAGCAGCAACAGGAGCTGCAGCAGCAGCAGCAGGAGCTGCAGGAGCTGCAGGAGCTGCAGGAGCAGAGGGAGCAGCAGGAGCAGCAGGAACTGCAGGAGCTGCAGGAAATGCAGGTGCAGCAAGAGCAGCAGGAGCTGCAGGTGCTGCAGCAGAGGGAGGAGGAAGAGGAGCAAAAGGAGGGTTAGGAGGAGGAGGAGCAGCAGCAGTAGCAGCAGTAGCAGCAGCAGCAGCAGCAGCAGCAGTAACAGTATGCACGAGCGCAGCAAATGCTGCGTATGTTGTTATGTTCCTCATCATCAGACTTTTTATCTTTTTACCCCCTGAAGGAAAAAAAAGAAAAAAAAAGGAAAAAAAAAGAATAAAAATAAATAAAAAAAAGAATAAAAAAAAGAAAAAAAGAATAAAAAAGGAGACAAAAAGAAATAAAAAGAGACACTAATTCATACTCTTTATTAGGTACTTTATAGCAACAAAATAACACACAATAAAGGGGATACACAAGAAACGAGAAAACCCTAAACCCTAAACCCTAAACCCTAAACCCTAAAAAAAAAGTTGAGGTGTCTGTACACCTCAAATAAATTAGTATAGCCAACAACAGATAGCTCTATGAGTACTCTGCTGCATGCAGATAATCTTTTTCTTATTCTTGTTATATAAAAGAATTAATTAAATAAAAAAGAAGAAGAAGAAGAAAAAAGAAGAAAATAAAAATGATTGCCTGTTGAGGTGTATAGACACCCCAAGAGCAGCAAGGGTCACTCCTTCTCTCTACTCCCCATAGATAAGAGCAGCAGCAACAAGAAAAAAGGAAGAAATAAGGATTAAATATACCTTTTATATATCTAAATTGTCCTTAATATGTATTTATTCTTCTTATTTAAATAAAATAATAAAAAATAAAGAAAAAAATAAGGAAAAAGAAGAAAAAAACCAGGAAATGGTGATGGGACAACACGCCTGCCTACTGGGGTGTATGTACAGCGCAATATATATACATATAACTGCAGCAGCAGCAGCAGCAGCAGCACCAGGAACAATTAATGCATAAATATGCATGCATACAAACAAATAAAACAATCAATTAACCTTTATACCGTCTTCTCTATCTATAGCAGCAGCAGCAGCAGCAACAGCAGCAACAGCAGCAGCAGCAGCATGCTACAGATCTAGAGAGACAAGAGACAACACAGCAACTTCCATAGGATAGAACGAGCTGCTGCTGCTGCTGCTGCTGCTGCAGTTGCTGCTGCTGCTGCTGCTTATAATTTATATCTTTTTTAATAAGGGGTATCTTTTATTTTATTATATTTATTATTATTTTTATTTATATCTCCTATCTATACACCGTAACTATCTAGCTGCCTAGACACCCCAGATATAGGGTACTGGTACTGTGGGGGCCCCCCTATACCCACGAGGGGGCCCCCAAGGCACATATAAATTGTACCCTTGGCTCCTTTTTTTCCTACATTGTTGCTGCTGCTTCATCTATAAATATAAATAATATTTATTTTATTTATATAAAGAAAAATAAACCCATAAAGCTCATCATACACCCCAAACATCGCAGCATCAGCATCAGCAGCAGCAGCAGCAGCAGCAGCGTTGCTCCCTCTCTTTTAGGGTTTAGAGCCACCATGGAGCAAGGGTTTAGGGTTTAGGGTTTACAGACTGTCTGCTTGCATGCATACAAAACAAGCAGCAGCAAACGGACAGCACGCGCTGCGGTGCTGCATACCTGATGTAGCAGCCACCTCAGGAGCAGCAGCAGCAGCACCAGCAGCAGCAGCAGCCCGGCAGCAACTGCAGCAGCAGCAGCAACAGCAGTAATAACAACTACTGCAGCAGCAGCAGCAGCAGTCTTGGCAAGATGAATACAGGCCTCTTTGGCCTCTCAACTGGGCTGCAGCAGCAGCAGCAGCAACAGCAGCAACAGCAGCAAAACGCTGCAGCAGGTGAGGAAGCTTCCCCCCTCTTATTCATATATAATGAATAAATCCCCTTATTCCTCGTCACAACTTAGGGTTTAGGGTTTAAAATTTAGAATATTAGGGTTTAGGGTTTAGGGTTTAGGGTTTAGGGTTTGTTGTGTATGTATATAGCGCAACAAGAGCTGCCTATACACCAGAAGAATTATCTTGTGTCGCTGCAGTCGCGGCTGCAGCGAGTAGAGCAGCTATTGAAGGACGAGACCCCTGCAGCACTAGGCTTTTCTTATGATTTAGATAGCAGCAGCAGCAGCAGCACAAGCTGCAGCAGCAGCAGCAGCAGCAGCAATGCAGGACTTACACGTGCACAGCAGCAAAATATACAAATGGAGCAGCAAGTGCAGCAGCTAGCAGCAGCAAACCCGCAACAAGGACAGGAACTCCTCTCTCGTTGGCAAAGAGCTGCATGCAGGAACCCTGATAGACAAGCAGGTATGATCAAGGGTTTAGGGTTTAGGGTTTATGCTGCATGCAAGCAGCAGCAGTAACAGCAGCAGCAGCAACAGCAGCAGCAGCAGCAACAGGAGTGGTGGTGTTGCTTACAGAATCAGCATCGCACCAAACTTTTGCCGACTTCTACATCTGCTGCTGCTGTTGCTGCTGCTGCTGCTGCTGCTGCAGGTGTAGTAGTCCCTGTTGTGGGGCTGCAGGGTTTAGCAGCAAGGATAGCTGGTGCAGCAGAGAGGACGGAGACAGTTGTCCAAGCAGCAGCAGCAACAGCAAGAGACACAGAGACACTTACTGCTAAATATAAACAAATGAAGGCTGCTGTAAGATAATATCCTGCTGCTGCTGCTGTTGCTGCTGTTGCTGCTGTTGCTGGAGGTGTTGCTGCTGGCATCTGGAGTTCGTGTATTTGCTGCTGGCTTGCTGCTTCCTTGGCAGCTGGTGCTGCTGTTGTTGCTCTTCTGCTGGTGTCAGCATTTGGGGCTGCATGCGTCTGCTGCTGCTGCTGCTGCTGCTGCTGCTGCTTGTGGACAGCTAACAAGGATTAAGAAGAGACACGCGATCTTAGGCCATAACCTTATTAGGACTGTGGGACTTGTCGAGGGTGCGTCCTGCTGCTGCTGCTGCTGCTGCTGCTGCTGCACCTTTTCTGCTGCAGTTGCTGCTGTCCCTGGATATGCTACTGTTGCTGTTGCTGCACTTGTATTTGTGCTGCTGCTGCTGCTTCTGCTGCTGCTGCTGCTGCTGCTGCACCTGCAGGGTTGGCTATGAGCCGCGGCGTCTGTGAGGCAAATCCGCGCTGCGAGGCAGCAAATGAGCAACTCTTGATGCAGATTCAGGTATATCCTTGATGCAGCAGCAGCACCACCAATAGCAGCAGCAGCATCACCAGCATCAGTAGCAGCAGCAGGAGCAGCAGCACTTCTTTTCCCGTTTGACTGATTATTGTTGCTGTTGCTGCTGCTGCTGCTGCTGCTGCTGCTGTTTTTTTTTTCTGCTGCAGGAGGAGTTTCAGTGGGCGGACTGGCAGCAACGTATTGACGGTCTGCGTGTATGGCTAGCGAGTTTGCAGCAGCAGCTACCAGAGAACAGCAGCAGCAGCAGCAGCAGCAGCATCAGCATCAGCAGCAGCAACATCAACAGTGATGAGCAGCAACAGGTTGTTGCTCCTGCCCTGTTACGGCTCCTTACAGTACAAGCAGAGACAGTGCAGCAGCTGCTGCAGTCCCTTGCTAATACAGAGGCCCTTGTCTCCCGCCTGCAGGCATCAGCCTTAGCAGCACGACCAAGAGCAAAATAAAAAATATAGACTAATAGAGGGGAGGGGGGCCCTTGGGGGGCCCCAGGGGCCCCCCGCCAGGGGCCCTCCCCGGATAGTGCTTCCGAAATATAGAGTAGTAACTGGGGGGGCCTGGGGCCCCCCACTGGCTCTTGCTTCAGAAATATAAAGAAAAAGTCGGGGGGCCCCGGGGGCCCCTAGGGGGGGGCCCCCCGAGATTCCGTTGGAGTATTATTGTTGTAGCCTAGGGAGGTGAGGGGCAGACATCTTTTGTTCTTTTGTTTATAAGAGAACATTAAGAAGGAGAATTAAATTACTTTTTCTTTTGTTGCTCCATGCTGCATGCAGAGGATGCCCATACACAGATACGCTTGGGGCTGCTGCTGTGCAAGGGGGCCTTTGTATGCTGTAGGGGGGGCCCCCAACGAGGCCCCACCAGTAGCTAGCTAACTGTATGATCTACAAAGGGGATTAAGACTTAATACTGTTAGAGCAGAGAAGCAGACAAGACACGTTACGGTGTATCCGCTACGCTTCTTGTGCTGCAGCAGCAGCAACAGTATCTATCCTATAAATATTTACTCCCGTTTGCTCTCGTTGCTGCTGCGCTGCAGCAGCAACGAGAGCAACGAGACTAAATGTCTATACCCCTAACTAACACTTTATTCACCTTATACAGCACATACACCTCATGCGCCTTCCTATACACCTGGATATACCTTGTAAACTCTAGACCGTAAACCCTAAACCCTAAACCCTAAGCACTGTTGAGATACCTAATACACCGCACAAGCTTGCTTCTCCTTGTAAGCCTTATAAATATTAACGCGTACTTTACTACCTTATTTACTAAGCAAAAAGGCAAAAAAGTTGCTTCTTTATACGCTGTTACTCTATAAAGGAAAAGAAAACACCAAACTGTTAGCATGCAAGGTCGTCCTGCAGTTCCTTTACTGCGACACACAAACACTAAGAAGGAGGGAAAGAGAGAGAAGAAACAAAAGTATATATAAAGATGTTAAGAAGAAAGGAAAATATGCTCTTATACGCGCAACACACACTGAGGGAAGATAGAGGGGGGCCCCCCTGCTGCTGGGGGCCCCCCGCCACTCATCCAAGGGGCCCCTGTACGTAAGGGTTGCGCTGGGGTTTGTCTGCCTCCTCTTGCTACAGCTGTTAAGGAATTCTTTCTTTTTATTGTTAATGCAATATAAATGCAACAACGGCATGCAACGCATATGAGCTCTCTAGCAAGAGCAGCAGCAGGGGCCCCCCCGGTTGTTGTTGCTGCTGTGGTTATGGCCATCTCTTCTCTTCTGTCTTGCTTTCGCAGCTTCTTACGTCGAGTGTAGTTCTTCTTTATTTGTTGCATTTTACTCTTTTCTTCCTTTTACCCAACTGTGCCCAGTGCTTCCTCCAAATAACGAGAGCTGCAGCGCCACAACAACAGCGACACAGCAGCAGCAGCAGCAGCAGAAGGGTACCTATACAAGACATATAGTCTATTGTTGCAACGCTTAACACCTGGGGGCCCCACGGGGGGTTGGAGTGGCCCTGCCACTCTCAAGACGTAGAAGGGCCCTTTGTCTTCCTTCTTGCTGCTCTTTAGAAGCCCATGGGGAGACGCGGGGCCCTCAAGGGGCTGCGAGGCCCCCGGCAGCTGTTTCGATGTTTCCTTCTTGTTTGCTGCAGCTGCAGCTGTATCCTGTACCCTGCAACAGGAGGGCCGTCAGCAGCAGCAGCTGCCGCTGCTGTTCCTGTTGTTACAGATGTCATAGAGGAGATTTCTACGACAGCGGCAACAGCAGCAGCAGCACGTTCAAATGGTGCAGCAGCAGGTCCAGGAGTTACTGCAGCAATTGCAGCAATTAAAGGGGGATTGGGCCCCACAGAAACCGTACAGATGCCATTAACAGTCGTAGGCACAAGAGTAGCCTTATGGGTACGGGTTGGCGGGCAGCAGCTGCTGCTAGGCTTAGATTCTTGTAAGGAAGGCCTCAGGTTGTTTGCATCCGATACAGCTGCATGCACTTCAGGGAAGCTTACTGCTGCACTGCAGCAGCAGGAGCAGCAGAAGAATAAGCAGAAGCAGCAGCAGCATGAGGCAGCACAGACTGCGGGATCTGCTGAAACACACAGTACATCCGAACAGCAGCAACAGCAGCAACGGCAGCAGCAGAATGATGGGCTCGCAAAGCAGCAGGATGCTCATTCATCGGAGGAGGGGAAGAAGACAGATAATCCTAAGCAGCAAAGGAAGCAGCAGCTCAAGAAGCAGCAGCAGCAGCAGACATGCTACAATCCTGATGCGTCCTCTGCAAGCAGCTGGTGTCTAAATTGGCATGAGATGTGTACGCCTTTCTCCGAGACCCCTTTTAGCTGCCGGCCTTCCTCGCAGCATGACCCCCAATATGCCGCCCGGTAAGGCCTGAAGCTACAGCTTCAGCAGCAGCAGCAGCAGCACCAACAGCAGCGGCAGCAGCAGCAGCACCAACAGCAGCGGCAGCAGCGGCAGCAGCAGGCGGTGCCATGGCTTCACTTTGTATTGCGGTGGTCTGTCCTGACGCTGTTACCACCTTTGTTCTGAGTGTTTGCTGCGCTGCGCCGTCGATTGTACGGATAGCTCGAAGGTGCCATTTATACTGCAGCAGCAGCAGCAGCAGCAGCAGTAGTAGTGGTGGTGTGTGTGTTTGCTGCTGCAGATATAAACAAGTAGTAGATGGTATTTTTGTATCCGAGCTTCGCTTGGAGGGGCACGACACTGTTGAGATGTTGCCACCAGGTTATGAATCTGAAGAGAAATTGAACTTGGGGGGGGCCCCTGGGGGCCCCCAAGATGCTGCTGTACCCTCTTTGTTTGCACTTCGGCTCAGTAGATTTCCTGTGAAATTGGTGTTAGATCGAGACACCGAGTTTGACGCGTACAAGGGGTTAGATGGTGTATGGGGAATAGCAGGTAGGTACACCGTGCAGCTGAGTAGTTGAACACAAAAAAAAAGAAGAAAAAGAAGAAAATAAAAACAAACAAGATAATAATAGAAAAGAAACAATAACAATAAAACAGATTTGGCAATATTTAGGGGAAGATGGCGATTCTCTCCCCCGTTGCAACTCCTTGTGCCTGAGGCACAGCCGTCGGGCCTGGGGGTTTCAGCCTAAACCCTAAACCCTAAACCCCAACTTCTTAGTGCAACACATAGCAGAAAGCGTCGGTTGAATTGGCTGTGATTGCATGCATGAACGTAAGCACGTCCGCCTACGTTGATCTTTTCTGCATGTTCTTGTATGTGTTCGTCAGGACCCGATCTCTGCTGCCGCGAGGCGTCTTTGTGGAACTTGCTGTTGGAGCCTAGTGTAAAGGGAGTGGGGATCGATGTTAACTTGCCCCCTTCAACGGGACATCCGTTACCTGGGCCCCCCATTTCTCAGGAGGGGCCCCAGGGGCCCTTCTCGGGCCGCGATTTGCTGCCTTCAAACATATACTTTTCTAGCAACGCCAGCCGTATTTTCGGGGAAATGTTGTGGGCAGAGCGCATGCAAACTGGGGCTGCTGGAGTTGACGCTTTGATTCATTTTTCTACTTTCGATTGGCGACTCTGTGGGGAACTAATAGGCCATCCCTTATCTAGCGCGTGGGAAGCCGTCGTAGACCTCAGGTGGGGAACTATGAAGATTTTTGCAGCATTTTATCCATATATGAGGGGTGTACTGACACAGCAGCATGCATGCGCTATCCATTAGGACGCAGCATATGCTGCAGTAGTTACGCATCACAAGACCAGCCAACACATAGCAAATCTCGAGAACGGAAACGAATATGCATAGGTTCAGGCATTTTTGCTGCTATTTCATGGGTTTATCGTTTAGGGTTTAGGGTTTAGGGTTTAGGGTTTAGGGTTTGGGATGCGCATGAGTTTGTGCCCCCAAGGAACATGCGGTGTAGCAAATCCTCGACCTTGTGCGTGCAGCTCGGAGTGTATGGTGGTGCCTCCGCCTATGTGGAAGAGCCTGAGAGCGTGGCTGCCTTTGGATACTGAACACGAGCTGTGCAAAGACCCAGACTCGGAAGAAGACAGTATAAATGCTCATGTGTCCCGCCCTGTGACGTTAACAGATGAAGGAGGGAAGCGGGCCTACAGACGCACCTGTCCTTTGTTGCAACGCCAGAACATTCGCCCTCTTCCGTCTCTCTCTTTTACCCTTTCGCAATCTTCCCCTGACGCTCCGCGATTGCAGCTTCCTCTTGAACGCCTCGTTGTTCGTGAACCGGGAGTCGGAGAAGTCCTTTGTGTCGTGCCGCAGCCCTTCTTGTCTATGGGAGCTGACCAGTGGCGGCAGATCCGCCTGGGCACCAGGGGTTTGTTTTTCTTCTCATTTAGCAAAACTATGCGCTAGCAGAGACCTCAGCTAAGCAACAAATGGCATTTCTGGTTGCACCTCCACCCTAGCATTCTCCCCCAAAAGGACTGTGCAGTTTAGGTCCCCCGTAGGCGCCCTCGCCTTCTGCAACTGTAGGGCGCATGATATTTACTTTTGGTCATATGTTATTTGCTTTTGGTTGTGCAGTGCTCTCTGCCTTCAAAGTGGTAATGGACAGGAACAACTGGCGTGTGGGGCTTCAAGAGAAATCCCCAGAACCTAACAACGACTCTGCCTGCGCCGCTCGGGCTGCGTGCATGTCAGTGAAAATAAGCGAACCGCCTCGCCTTTGCGGACGCTTCCACAGAATTAGAAAGGATCGATTTCCTCTATCTGCAGCTGTGTCCCAGACCTGTTGCCATTCCGTTGGGTTTTCAGGAGAGCGTGTCTGTGCAGACGCCTTGTTTTCGTTTGTATGCAGCGGCGAGCAAGTGTACGTTCCTTACACAAACCGATGCGCTGATCCTGATTGCAGTATCAAGATCCTCTTCGAAATGAACCAAGAAACAAAGTAGGCGGTTCATGGGAGCGTCTGCAGGCTGCAGTGACGCGCCTGTTGCAGCAAGCCACTGCAGGATTGTGCTAAAGTGGTTGTCGCCTGCCTTTCACTCTGGTGCTCGTTGATGTAGGTAGTCTTCACAGCAGCAATACACACATACACAAACTAGGAATCATATATTGGAAGCCACGTTGTTCTCAGTCTGTGGGTGTATGCTTGTTTTTGTGTCCCGCAGAGTATGTGAACTGGCATGGTGGGTTCCCGGTGCGGTAGTGACCGCAGTTGCGGCTCTCGTGACTCTCGAGTTGTTTGTTTTGCATCTTCGCCAGAAGGTAGTGGCTGAAGCTTGCTCAGGAAGGCAGTGACAGAGCCGGATTGGCCGAGAAGGGAATGACGCTACTGAAGACGAGCGGTGCCAGAAACACTTTGGTTCATGTTTGGGGCAGTAAATGCAAATTCAGGAAACGCAGCCAAAGTCATCTTAATCATGAGCTTTCACTGGCATAGTGGGAGTCTGAGCTTTTTCAGATGCGCGCTTGTTCAGTGAGCAAAGCAGAGAGGCAGTCTAACCGTAGATTGCTCTTCATTTAGGTCTTGTTGCATTGTAACTTGATGACAGTGAGAAAGAAATCCAGTACGCTGACATTTCGCTTGCAGTGTCTATAAGTTGAAGTATTGCAGAATTAATGTGAGCGTACTGTAAAGTAACCACGCAGCGGAAGGGGAAGCAACTGCCCGTCGTGGCTCTGACCGCAGCTGCTTCATGTTGGCGCTGACCCATCAACACCTTCATGCACGGATATTTCCCAGGCTACTGCTCTCTGGAGCAGCGGCAACTGCCACCTCCTGGCTGTGTCGTTCCTGTACTGGAACGGGCCGCTACGGAGATCCATGACTGTGACAGGATGTTCAAACATCTTTCCTGTGGCAGATCGTCCTACGTAACGCCAACTATAGAAAAATGCAGACCAATGGCTTGCTATGTAGCCGCTAGAGGCCATTTTGACGCTCCGGATTAAAGCCGTAGTTCCAGGCGTTCGCATTTTCAACAATCGAGCTCAAGGGTTACTGCGCCTGCTGCGTGTAGTGTGAAGGTAATTAAGGTCCGGTGATGCTGCAGCTTGAGGGATGCATCGTACATGTGCTCGTGCTCGCCTTGACCTGTTGACGTCGCTGAACAAACGGGAATACACACAGTTTTAGGGTTCGCCCAGGGAGGGTTCTTCTATTTTTCAAGCTAACTTCGACGATCACACTTGCAGTGCTTCCGAGGCTTGTCTGTATGAAGATGAATTCCGTGGTATTAACTCAGTGACTCTCCCTGAAATGCACGAGGTTCTGCAAATGTTTACGCGGTGAGGTGAACACAGCCACCAGTTCATGAACGCACACCGTATTTATCACCCTGTTCCTGCTTCCGCTGCGAATTCTTCTATCTCGTGCACTTCAGTGCACGGTGGTTGCGCAGTGTTCACGTTCATACAAGCGAAGGCCCATTTCATGGTATGTTGAAACATGTAACGAAGACATGTATAAAACACTGCAGAAATGCCTTTTGGAAAAGCAGGCAATTAAATGCTAGTCTTAAAGAAAGCGTTACTTTGGTAACTAGCTGCAATCTGAGTTACGTGCACCGTAAAATGCCGACTATTGTTTCATTCCTGTCCTGTTTTGAGTCACATTGCCATCGCAAGTTGCAGGAGTCCCATAATCGACATGGTTAGATTGCGTGTAGCGACTGCCGAATGATTAATTCTATCACCAACCGCGGTTTTCCCAGCAACTCCCCGTTATCGCTACAACGGTGCAGATGATGTTTTGATTGCCTTGTACTAAAATGGGGAGTGGCAATCCAGCAATCCAACACCAAAATGAGCTTGCATAGAGTGCATGAGGGTGTATTGGCTGCTTTTCGCGTTGCCCTTGAGGAATGCAAGACACGACAACCGTGGTAGCTGCTAATTCGGCGTACTCCCCTGCCTGGCGCATCCGTACCGTGGGAGCCTTCTGCTGAGAGCTGCGGTGTGCATTGAAATGAACGGCTTAAAGAAATGTCCACAAAAATACACCTCGCATGGGCTCCAGTTCCCAGGTTTGCTGAGCACAGCGGCCCCGAACCTGGGACGCGTTAAGGGGAGGCGGCCTCCTGCGAGCTGCAGAGTGTATTGCTGCAACGGGAGCTGCAAGGAAGACCACATTCAAGCACAAGAGATTGGTCGGCTTGCGCTAACAGTATAGACTGCTGCTAAACCTCTACTTGGCTCTCAGTAGCCAGCCTGGGGGCAGGAAGAAGAGCACTTGACACCGTCAGCGGGGCACTGCTGATCTCTCATACACTGGGACGTCAACTATTTAAAATGAGTGTATTCACTCTAAATTATACCGTTATATGGTAAATATATGAGAATATGAGAGACTGCTATGCTGTGCAGAGCAGTTTGGGGTAAGCTGAGTTGGCAGGCGTACTGTGTCAACTCATGGACAGAGTACTGCGGTAACATCACTATCCGCCTATCAACCACAAAAAGTACCGTAACTGTCAGGCATATGAACTAGGGTCATGCACTCCTCTTTCACTGGGGTCAAGCGGTTCAACGAAAAGTTAATACCTGCCTAAGTACCTAGCGACTACTCCAGAAAATTGACAGTTTTCTGCAAGCAGCAGGTGGACCTCCGTAAACGGTAGAGTTCCTTTGTTGCAAGCCAATTAATGCTTGTGGGAAGTAACACCTTGCAAAGCAATTTACAGTTAACCCATGAGAAACTAACGAGCTGCTGGTGAAAAGAAACGCACGAACAGAGCAAGACTATAAACAGAAAACTACCCTGGTCAACGGATGACTAGCGTGTTGAGACAAATGTGAAATTGAGAGGGGCAACCGGTTAAAAAATGGACCGCAATTAAAACTTGAAGAAGAATTAAATGGGAAAAGGGATTTCGAACATTCTTTATTCAAAATTTCAACTGAACGAGAGACGCGTGATGCGATAAGGTCACCACGGGGACACAACGTTTTACCTGTGCCACAGGGGAAGAAAGCACTGGCTAAAACCCATAGCACACAAAAATATGCTACCACAGTCTTGATTTTTTACATGAAATTTTGCATGAAGACGGGGACGTTGTATCGCTAGGTTTCGCTCACCGCGGAGTCGTGGGCTAGGTAAGCATGTGTCCCGATAGGTCGCGCAGCTGCACGACCCCACACAACCCTCCGCGCGATTCCTATTCGCAGCCAGCAGAACAGGAGCGTTGGACTGTCACATGGTTATAAAGTTGGTTTTTTGGAGAAGCGGTGTAATCAAAGACACTTCTTTCCTCTCAAGTGTGCGCAGGTCTCCGTTGTTCCCGTGTACAGCCCAAAGCTCGGTGACGCCCAGTGAAGATGAGGTTGCACACGTCTTTGTTGCTCGTCCTGCCAGGTGTATCCTTAGCGGCAAAAGTTACCTCTCAAAGCTATGAAACGTTTGAAGCCAGCACTGCCTATCAGGATTTGCAGCACGAATCCACTGCTGGGGTGCCAAGCAACGTGGAATCGGATGGTTTCGGCCTTCCACACACAGAAGAGAGTTACGTTGAGAACATCAATGGAGACGAACCGGATCATTCGGACATGAGGAAGAAGCTCAGGAGCAGGGGTCAATGCGACTCGGATTCTACCAACACCTTCTCAGTCCCGGGCGCTAGCGAGGAGCACGTTGCCGAAACCGGGAAGGGAGCTGCAGGCGAGCAGTATATGGCACATGAATACGAACAAGCAGCTGGTAAGGACGCTCAGTCCATGGGCCCTGCAGTTCGTGGTTACCATCCCCTTCCTGTTCCCTACGACCCTACCCGGTGAAGAGTATACCCAACTGCTGGTGCCTCTTACCCATGCCAGTCTGATATGCCTCCGTACCTTGCCACATGATGCATATGATGCAGGTGCCGAAGTCTACGAAGCTTACCAGGTCTCAAAGGGTGCAGCTGGCCGTGAGCTAGGTAAAAAGAAGGTGATATATGCTGCTGAACCTGTAAAGAAGGCACCCGCACCGATCATGATGGCTGCGCCTACCAAGAAGGCTGCTCCCATGATCATTCAAGCTGCCCCCATGATCTTCCCTTCCATACTTGCTGCTGAGGATGAGACTGAAATGGTGTTCGAAGCCGAGAACTTCCAGACTGAGCAGTACGACAGTGCACCTGAGCGCAGCCTGGGGAAGAAGAAGAAGGTTATGTATGTTTCTGAGCCAGTCAAAATGGCATCCCCACCCGTTATGATGGCAGCACCTACCAAGAAGTCCGCTCCCATGGTTGTTGCCCGACGGGGCTGTTTCCGTGGACGAGGATACTAGCAAGTCCGACGCGGCTGGTTCTACCGGGCAGGAGGACATCAACAAGCCCGACGGGGCAGTTTCCGCGGACGTGGACACCAGCAGCTTCGACGTGGCTGGTTTTACCGGGCGAGAGGACACCACTAACTCAGGCGAGGCTGTTTCCACCGGGGTCCTCCTGTAGTTGTTCGGGCTGCCCCGTCAAAGGCGCCTGCACCTTTGGTCGTTGAAGCTGCGCCAACCAAGATGGCCGCCCCTCCTGTGGTGATTGAATCTGCTCCGACAAAGGTGGCGGCAGGAGGACATCTTGTTCGGGCTGCCCCGTCAAAGGCGCCTGCACCTTTGGTCGTTGAAGCTGCGCCAACCAAGATGGCCGCCCCTCCTGTGGTGGTTGAGGCAGCTCCTACTAAGGTCGCCCATGCTCCTGTGGTGATTGAATCTGCTCCTACAAAGGTCGCCCATGCTCCTGTGGTGGTTGAATCTGCTCCTACTAAGGTCGCCCATGCTCCTGTGGTGATTGAATCTGCTCCACCCAAGATGGCTCAACCTCCGATGGTGATTGAATCTGCTCCGACAAAGGTCGCCCATGCTCCTGTGGTGATTGAATCTGCTCCACCCAAGATGGCTCAACCTCCGATGGTGATTGAATCTGCTCCAGCCAAGATGGCTCGCCCTCCTATGGTGATTGAATCTGCTCCGACTAAAATGGCACACCCTCCTGTGGTGATTGAGTCCGCTCCGACCAAGGTCGCCCATGCTCCTGTGGTGATTGAGTCCGCTCCGACCAAGGTCGCCCATGCTCCTGTGATGATTGAGGCTGCCCACACCACGAAGGGGAGGTACCTTAACGCTGAGTTTGTTCATGCTGAGATGCACTAGCTGAATGATTATTCTCCATCCACTCAATGTTCAGGAGGGCCCCGCCAGGTTCAGGTTAGTAGCCTAGTCCCAGTATAAAGAACGCTTATCCTCACAAAGCCTATGACTGCTTGCTGCTATTCTGGAAGCGCAGTGCAGGGAGCATTAACGCTCTCCTATAGCTGGTGAATTATGTGCTGCCAAATCGGTAGCAGAGGAGGCTGCGCCTCCTGCAGGTTGTACTAAGAGCGCTTTATGACTATCGGGAGCTCAAATGCGGCTCAGCATGCCGGAACGTGGGCATTTTGGTACACGGAGGTATCACCTCGAGCGAATGGGCGGGGGTCTTTCCGCAAACAAGCGTTCCACCAAAACCTAAGGTGGAAAACTGTTCAGTTGCATTTAATTACGCTTTTGTAAATACCGTAACTGTCGGAGCCCTATGCATGAACTTAGCCTGCCGGCCGGCTGCTGTGCTGCAGCTCAGCGCCCGAATACTAGTGGAGTTCAGCCACAAAAGCGTGTAGTAGTTTGCCACTTAGCAGGCTGCAGAAAGCACCCTACCAAACCGGACGCACACCCGCCAGTGCAACTGGTGCTTCAACTGAAGATGAGGACTATATAGCACCAAAAGCAAATGCAAGTGACCACCTGAATGGGCAGGAAAAGCCTTCAAGCATTTCGTTCACTCTAAACTGTCGTGGAAGGAAGCGTTCTACTCAGGATCCGAGACTCAGCTGAGATGTCAATTGAAGGAGATAGGTATCTGAAAGTTACGGTAGCCACCGCACACAGGCTCGCCGCTTAACTCAGTGTTAAGCAAACTAGTGCACGGCAAACCCTGACCCTAACTTCGCAGGGTCACTCCCGTCACTAACACTCACTTAGAGGTTGCCTCTCACTTTCCAAAGTGGTAGATACTTCTTTTAAGCTGTATACCCATTTCTGTAGCCACAAATAATCCTACTGAGAAACGCGCAAGCGTCGAGCAGAAACTGTTGTGAACGAGGAGGTCAACAGCCTTAACAGCTCCAGCAGGTGCAAGGAGGAAATCCTATTAGTACATTGGTGAGTACAATTACCTGCGTTTGCTGGCGGACGAGGAGGAAGGGAGTGCCTGTCAGCCTCCATAATGGACCGAACCTGAGTCTGCCCTAGTCTGTCCTTTTGAAGCGAGACACAGTATCGCTTCCATGAGCACTTGTTACTATTTTAAATGAAAGATAGTAAGGTGGACGCAGCATTAAGTTCCTGAAAATCCTGGTCAGGCATGTGAAACTTGTATTTAGGCGGTGCTTCAGCAAGGGATTCATGAGCTTGCGCTCGTCTGGATTTCATTTGTCTGAAAACCATGAGTCACTGTCTTGATGTCTTGAAGCAGTTACAGACAGTCACATATCTGGTGTGACTCAAAGAAACGGTGCGTAGTTGAGGAAATTAGCCTTTCTTTGAATATTCAGGTGAATTGTGCAGGTGCCATCTGTTGCATCGGCCCGAAATCAGTAAGGGGCGAGACAACCAAATGGCCACCTGCGTATGTTGAAGCATTCCATCATCGGTTTCGGCATTTTGTTTTGGGTTTTTTTGGCCCTATGAATTCAGAATCTTCAGTTGCGAGGCCGTCTTGATCGCGATCTCCTGACTCGAGCACCATTGACACTGGGGGCTGTGGGGGGAAAGGGATGCACTGACCTTCTTCAAATTGGGAAAAATTCTCCTTTCTTCTAATTTCCCAAGCTATAATTTTCAACAGGGTGCCAATTTCACTGGCCCAACATGCAGAAAACTCCCACTTGATCCTTTGCCGCCTTCATGGGCCGACTCCCTGCTGGAATGCTGGCTTTTGCACCAGCTACACGCGCGGAAATGCTTGGGTCTCCGCGAGTTGAAATATGCGGGAGCATGCGGAACCATTGCCGTCCCCATAGGAGGTTTGTGGGCGTGTGTCCCTACGCTGGCCTCAGCAGACACGCACCGTCTTCTCCTTTCCCTGCGTGCTACTACCTACGACAGCAACGATGCCTCCACCACGATCCTTGTGTCACTTCTTCAGCTCTGCATAGAAGTCTCAGGGCAAATTCATTAGATCCCCCTACAGATAGCAAAGTTGTTGGCGCCCTAGCGCCAACATGCCGCCCCCGGGCTGAGTGGCCTGCAAACATCCTGGAAAGGGTTCGCCGGGAGCTGTCAGCAGGTCACAGTTCGCCCAAGTCTTCCTTGCAAGATCGGTGGGCGAGCCCTCTCTATGATCGCACCAGCTTCATTTCGTGGTGTGAGATGCAGCAGCAGCTGCAGAAAAACAACCCACGAGCGTTTTTGCGCCGACTGATGCGAGCTATTTCCCACCCTTTTTCAGGCGCAGAAGTTGATGTGGGCGCTTCTTTTGGGGCGCTCGACGGGACCCCTCAGGGTACAGATTGTTCTCCAGTTGTGTACAAACGCTATATTGACGGGATGACCGCAGCGCATCACTACCCGTCGCGCCTGCTTCCCCCCCACGAGGCGGCTAAGCTCCCTCCTCTTTTTTTCGTTACACCGTTTGGCCTTCACGAAGACCCAAGCCCATCCGCAGAGACGCAGGATATTAGGCTTAGGGAAAGGGTGTTCCGCCCTAGCAGCCCCGGGGCAATTCTGCCAAAGACATCGGTGGGTTATCAGCAGTTTCTTTCTTTTGTGTCTTCGTTGCAACCTTTTCGTGGTGTTTATACCTATTTGGGCCTCTAAGGGGATTCCCGTTGATCCATGTGTTGGAGCCTGCATGCGCGCAGCTGGTGGAGCGCCTATATGGACGCGTCTCGCTTCTGTTTCTGTTCGATGTGGGAGGGCAGCATTCTCAGTTAGCCGATGTTGCTACTTGGGTTCGCCGCCTGGAGAGCCACAGCTCGTTCATATCTTCTGTATATGGCCCTGTTTTCGCCTCTCCCACTGCTGCTACCTCTGCTGCTGCTGTTGCTACTGGGTCGCTGCCGCCGGGGCTGTTGCAGCAGCCGTGCCCCGGCCTTGGCTGGCGCGCAGACGGGACAGGTCCTGAGCTGGCGAGCCTGCAATTCATTTGCGTCGATCATGCGCCCTTCTGGCTTCGTTCTCTAGCCATTCGAAGCATGCAGTCTCTGACCCCTTCCTTCCGTTCGCTGTTGCCCTTTCACTCATTTCCGCAGCGCTTGCGCAGGGCAGCACGCATACAGGAGGGGCCGCGTGAAGTCCCCCAGGATTCCCGCGAAGCTGCGTTGCGTCTTCTGGCTGAGGAGTATGAACACCTTTGCTCTTTGATCCGCAGCCGTGCCGCAGGGAGCTGTCTTTTTGGCTCTTTCATGGGCTACAGCGGGCGCTGGGGGGCGGAAGAGGTGGAAACCTTCAAGCGAAGAGAAAGAGCGAAGTTCGTCTCCGTGCTGCTGGTAGACAAAGCCGCCAGAGTTCGCTGGCACGCTACCGGCAGCCCCACGGAAGAAGCGGTGATGCTGCTCCTGTGAGCAAGCCTCACGAGAGAAAAGAAATGAAGCACAAGCAGAACACGCACCTATATTTGCAGGCCAAATGCTATTCCTAAAGCCCTAGACCACTTGTGGCTCCGATTGCTCGGCATACTCCTCTTCTTTTTCTGATTATGTTGTGTGTCGCTCAGCTCAGGCCTCAAGGCCCTTCTTGCCGAGGACACAAATGCTACCGCTTGCATTCCCCGAGTCCACGTGTGCAGCCGCAGCAGTAGGAGCTACTGCAGCTACGCGTGAATACTAGCGCCGCAAACGGTGCAGTCCTTAGTTTGCAGCAGCATCAACGAGAAAAAAGGGCCATGTGCGGCCACCTTCCCTCCCGTGATGTCAGACTTCAGTGTTCAGTATGCATGCGAACGGAACGCAAATAAAAAAAATCTGTACGGAGAAAGCCATAAAAGCAAACGATTGTAGCCACAGCTTTTGCTGCTGCTACTGTTGCATTGGTGCCGTGGTCTGCAGGGGTCTGTTCTAGTAGGATTCTACTATAGCAGAAGCTGCAGCGGGAGTTGCCGCTATATTACGTCTCCGTCTGTGCAAAGGGTTCCAGCCTGCAGGGTTCATGACAGCGGCGGTCCAAGCCCTGCATTACAGCAGCTGCACCACCAGCCGCTGCAGATTCCAAAGATGCCCTAATACAGCATAAGTACTTCACAGTTAAAAGGGGGGAAAACGTGCTATAGGGAGCCTTCATGTTCGTTGTGTAAAATGCCTGTGGTGATGGGGGCAAATGGGATGCCATACGGTGGAGTCTTCAACAACATAAGAAGGCGTCTTGTGCACGGTGGAGGAGAAGAGGCCAAAGCAGGCGACCTGCTGAGCAAACCAACAGACGTAGAAGCAGCAGCGTGAGCCTAGATGAACAGTCTTCGCCGGTGGCTTCTTTCCTCACGTCAGCAGGAACAGCAGCAACGGTTGCTGCTGCCCCAGCTGCTACGGCAGTGCGTGCCCCAGGATTTTGCAGCAGTCTCAGCAGGGCCCTCACGAGGAGCTGCCGCTCCTCGTGAGCACCGACAGCCACCAGATTCCCAATGACAGCTGTCAAGACCCCTCCAAATCCTTCCAGAGCAGCAGCGACACACTCCCAATATGCTGCCTCGGAAACAGCTGCTGCTTCTTCTGACGGCGGCTTCTCGACGGGGTCCTCGGGCTGTTCTACAGGATCACTGAGTTTTGACGAAGGTACTTGTGCTTGGCCAGAGGCTGCTGCAGCATGAATCTCGTGAGGGGCAGCAGAACCTGTTGCTGCTGGGGCATCAACGTGCTCGATGCTGTATGAAGAAGCGTCACGATCTGTAGGACGCCTCTCAGAAATGCCTTTATTGACAGTAGAGACGCTGGGGGTACCCGTTGCAGCAGCACCAGGCGGCTGTGCTTGGTGAATGCATGCAAGGGGGGAAACAGTGCCGTTATCTGCAGCAGCAGCAGCAATCCGGCTAGAAACTGCAGCGACAACGTGGGCAGACTTGCCCTCAAGGCTCGCTGCGTTGGCTCCCGTCGCAGCAGCGTGAAGTAACAAAAGCTGCATCACAGGCTGAGCTGCAGCAGGTATGCGGACAGAGAGCGGTAGGCGATGTGGGGCACCGCAGAGGGGAAAGATATGCAACAAGCACTGCTTGATGCACTTCTCCGGATCGCAGCAACAGCCGTTACTGCCAGCAGCGCCGCAGCAACAGTCCCCGCGTTCCTGCTGCTGCAGCTGGGAAGGGAGCTGAGATGACATCTCGCTGCTACTACTGTCTATATTTTGCGTCAGTAAAGATATAACATTCGGTAGAGAACTACCAGCAGCAGCAACAGTAACTGGAGCAGCAGCATAAAGCAGACGACCCCTTGCAGCAGTGGTGGTGCTGCACTGCTGCTGCGGCTCCTTCAGAAGGGTCTGAGGGGATCGGGCACCTCCTGGCAAGAACTCCTCCAGGCTCCGCTGAGTCGTCATAGGGGACTTTCCGCAATCTGCAGCACCAGCAGTTAATCCTGCTGCTGAACGTTTCCTCTTTTTATTGCTGTGTGAACCCTTAATGCTGTTTCCGTTATCCGTTGTCTGCATGCGTTGAACTCTGTCTACCAATGGGGTTCTCAAGAGAGGAGTTGAGGCCTGACTCTCAGGGGTACGAACACTCCTCAGCTGCTGTAGCTGCCCCGTGAGCACCGGCGAGCTTCCGTCTCGAGTTTGGATACGTCTCTCCGGAGTTTCCAGCTCTGAAGTTCCCAGCAACCGGTGGCAGTCATGCAAACTATCCACAGCAGCGGAGGCAGCAGCAGCAGCGGTGGCGCTGCCCCTAATTCGGCCTGGTGCCACCCTTACTGGCGTGCGTGCCTCTTTGGCGCTGCTGGAGCTGTCACTGTTGTCGCTCGTAGTAATAAAGCAGCAGTCCACGGGTGAGTAAGATGCTTTGAGTGGGGTTCCTAGACCGACTATCTCCTGTTGCATGTCTTGCTCCTGCTGCTGCTCTTGCTCCACCGGCTGGTGCTGCTGTGGTCGTTCTAACGGCGACCCATCCTGGGCCTCCTCCACTTGATTTACTACTACACAGCACGGCTCAAGAGTGTCGGTGCAGCTTTTGTTGCTGTTGCTAGCGCCTCTGCTGGTGCTGCTCTTTTTGAAAGCAACTCCCAACAGGCTGCGCTGAAGATGCTCCTGTTGCCGCCGCAGCGCCTCTTCCTGCTGCTCTGTCCGCAGCTGCTGGAGCACCAGCGTGATGCCGCGGTAGTCTTCCAGTGGGCATACGCTGCAAGGAATAGAGCAGCATCAGTTTCAGGTAGCAGTGAGAGCCAATCTTTGAAAAGGAGCACACGACCGACAAGTACGACGCTCTTCGCACACCGCACGGATGGAAAAGACGGCTACTCTGAGGTATCTATAGCAGGAGTAGCAAGCACCGGCAGCAACAGCAGCAGCAAGCGACAGCAGTACCAACACCAGGAACATCAGCAGCAAAGGGGTCACAGCGGAGAAGGAACAAAAGAAGCGCACCCGCTGAGACTCTCTTTCCACAGCGCCTGAAGCTCCTCGTACAAGTCTCCCGACGACTGCACCCCAAACACTGCATTCCTACTTTTGCTGCTGCTGCTGCTGCCGTTGGTTCTGCTGCTTCCAACGACACGGGAGCCCCTCGCCGAGTCACAAACGCCGCACCCCAGAAATTTGGTGGTCTGGATGGGGGCTGCTGGATGTCGGTACAACAGCTGCAGCAGCAACAACAGCAGCAAGGGCCGCAATATTTAGTCTAAACTCTGAAGGTGCGCATGCAACAAAATTCTTCACTTTGCGTTAATTCGTCGGTTAAGGATTTAATGTATACTGCATGCCTTTGCCGAGATCTTGGCAGTGTAAAGACGGTTGGATTTGAGTCTCTTCTCTCCTTCTTCTGCGATTTGTTTGAGGAGACAAAGGAGATCGGAATACTGCTGAAGGCGAATACCCCAATTAACAGATATACTCAGAGAGCCCTTGGGTGGCATGTTGCTGGTTGCTCCAGCTGCAGCAGGCGCAGCCGCAGCTGCTGCTGAGCCTGCGGCTGCTTGTCCTGCAGTAGGAGCACCAGCGAGCGGAGAGGGAAGAGGGCGCACGTCTACCCCGTGGCAGAGCCACCACAGTTGGGCCCCCCTCTTGCGGCCTGCAAACAAACAGCAGCAGCTGAGTGGCAGTTTGTCAACAGGCTCTTCCCCTTAACCTTCAGGTTGTCGGCGTCTGCTGCATCTGCTGCTTGTCGCCTGGAACTGAAAGTGGATACACACCCAGGGCAGCCTGCAGCAACTGGAGCGACTCTTCGCCCTTTATCTGAACGTCCCAGCATGTTTTGGGTGCTGCTGTTCCAGACGCAGCAGCAGCAACTTTAGACGCCACCGCAGGACCCACTCCGGGAATCGCGCGCAGCCGTAGTGGCCCCACAAAAGCTGCTGCATTTGCTGCTCCACCCCTCACCACACACACTCCATCCCGCTGCACTACCGCTGTTGCTGCTGCTGCTGCTGCTGTTTTGTGCTTCTTTGGAGGTGTGGCCGCAGAAGCGTCAGCTGAAGGCTTTGCTGCTGCAGTTGCAAGTTTGGCCAAAAGGCAGTTGCTGCCAGCCCCCACGGAAACCGTGCAGCCAGTCATTTGTGTTATCGCCTCCCTCAACGCCACGCACACATCGGCAACTGCCGCTGCCTCATCTGCCTTCATGCTACTGCTATTATTGGTGCATCTGCCAGTTCCACTGCTACTGGTGGTGGTGGTGTTGCTAATATTGTGGCTGTGGATCGTCTGGGACAAATTGCCATTGCTGCTACTGCTGCCGCCGCTGCAGCTGCAGGGCCCTGCAGAAAAGCCCTCCTGTGTCTGTTGCAGCAGCGGGAAACAAATCTGGATGAACGTCTGCAGCGCAGACAAACACAATATTCACGCTTGTACAGATTACCCTCTTCTGCAGCTGATGCCTACGATGCCTACTTTTCTACTGCTGGAGATACTGCTGCTGCTTCCATGCTGTGATACAAGCCCTCAATCATTTCAAACAGTCTTCACTCCTGGCTGATCCGCGGCTGTGGATCCCTAGGCATCAATCCACACCCATCTGAGTTCACGGGAGTTAATGATTTGGGGTTCGTTTTATAACGGTTTACAAAGGCTTTGTTGCGGGTGAGAAAGTTTACAAGGGTTTACAATGGTTCCGGCAGTTAAACAAGGGTTATTGTGTCCATGCGTCGTTGTTTGGGTTACCTCATCACATGAGATGGGCGCCAGTCTGCGTGAGAGAGAGAGGGCGGCTTTAAAGAGGCCTGCACTAGCAGCTTCGATTCCAGCGAAGTCGTACGGCAGCAGCAACAACTCAGGACACAGATGCAAGGCAGAGCGCAGCCACATCCCCTTGCAGACACCCCGGGCACGCGCCACGTAGTTGCAGCTAGCAATCTCGGAAGTGCCGCCTCCAGCAGGCGCTGCCGCGGATGATGCTGTGCCGCCCGCTTTTGCTGTTACAGGTGTACCTGCTGCTGCAAATGAACGGAAACACCCCACAAACACACTTCCAAGCCCACAAGCATCACCATCGCCCCCTAAAAGTGAAACGCGTGAAGCGCAAACAACGGGAACCCTTAGCCAGGCGACTGAAGAACCACGTACCACTCCTGCTACTGCTGCTGCAAGGACCCTACCCCGCGAGTGATGGCAGCAGCAGCAATGACAGCTGAAGCAGCAGCAGCAGGCCCCACGCCCCCACTCACGGACAGAAACCTCAGCATCCCCTGAATCTCCTCAAGACTGCTGTGACAACTTACAAGGAGAGACTGTTGAACATTGGGCCCCCCGAGAGTGGCAAACTGCAACCTGCAACAAAAGCAACAGAACCAGCCACAGCAGCAGCAAGAGCATAAGCATGAATGGCAGCTGCCAGCTTTTTCGTGTTGTTGGAATGAGAAGTTTTGCTGCAGTGTCTGCGCAGTTCAAAAGACGCGCTTTTCGTCGCCAAGCATCGCAGCAGAAACAACAGCAACAACAGCAACAACATGAGCAAAAGGAGCTACGTGAGTTGTGGACACGGGACTGCACCGGCTTGTCTTTTAAGTGCGGGTGTTTGAGGAGAGCCACAGAGACGAAGAAGGCATCAAAGTCAACGTGCACAATCCAGCGCCCTGCTGCTGTTGCAGAGACTGCTGTCGTTCCCGGAAGTGGTGTTGCTGCTGCCGCTGGTGCTTCTGCTTCCGCCGAATTGGAATGCTGCACGAACAAAGGAGAATGAGCAGCAGCAGCAGCAGCAGCAGCAGCCACGTCACTCTCATTAGGCAGCGTTAAGCTAAGCGGCAGCAACAAGGGCAGCAGTGAATTGCTCGTGACAGACGCATCCTTCCACGGAAGCGCAACCTGCTGCCAGCTGCTGCTGCTACTGCTGCTGCTGAGGAGACGGGTTAGCATTGCAGCACAGCGGCTTTGCCAAACTCCAATAAAGTGGAGCCGAGAATGTTCGAAAAAAGAAGACACAAAATCAGGCTGTCGGCAGTCCACTACGCCCCTCCTCCTTCCTGCTACTGGAAGGCCTGCTGTGGCCCCCGCCACTGCTCCTCCCTTGCCTGCTGGTGTTCCTGGTGCTCCTGCTGCTGTTATTCCTCTTCCCAATGCTGTTGCTGTTGCCCCTCCTCCAGCCTGTGCTCTTTGCACGTGTCCTGCATGCTGGGAGGCATCAAATGCTGTTGCTGCCGATGTGATACTGACGGCGAATTCTTTTGGTTTCGTTATTGCTGCGGTTGTGTCTTCAGCTGCTACCGAACGGCTACTCACAAGAGAAGCAGTAGACTCTAGTGTGAGTCCTTCTTTACTTCCAGCAATGGCAGCTAAAATATTCCCCGCGGCTCCCTCATATGCTGCTGCTGGAGGACCATTCTCTGCTGCAGAGGCATCAACTGCTGCTTTTGCTGCTGTTGCTTCTACCGGAGGCGCCGCAGCTTTGCACTGGCTGCTCGTGTCTGAGGAAACCTGTTGTTCTTTTTCCTGTTGCTGGTGCTCTTGATGCTGTTGTTGTACCTGCTGCGGCAGTTGTTCGCTGCTGCAGCAAAACTCAGATATAATTCCATTTTCCTGAATAGCATGAGCAGGAGGCGAACACAATCTCGCAGCGGCAGAAGCAGCAGGCGCTGCAGCGGCAGCGGATGCTGCAGCAGCAGTGGGTGCCGCAGCAGCATTTGGATCTGCTGCAGCATTGGGTTCTCGAGATCCTGCTTTCTGCCTTTCTCTGTTTCGTGAATGCGTGGAGACGTTCTCTTGAGCATTTCGTGGCTCTTGCCAGGGTGACGGGGCCCCCGTTGTGGGACTGGGGGCCCCCTGTTGCGGGTGTGGAAGCCCGCCTGCTGCTGGACTCGGGGCCCCCTGCTGGAAATGTGTGAGCGCCCCTGCTCCTGGGGGTAACAAGCGCCGCAGCAGCGGCTGACAGTTGAGCTGCAGACCTTTTGGTCTAAAAAGAGTAGGAGAGAGAAGTCGCCCCGATTCAATTGAAGAGAAGACCCAGCCACATCTCACCACTACATAACTCCGTGCAGTGCCCCCTCTATCTCTGCAGCAGTGCCAACCAGCAGCAGGAGCAGCAACAGCAACAGCAGCAAAACCGAAGGGAAGACCACAGATTTATACCGAGCTGTAGTATAGTGAGGCAAGTTTAATGCACATGCAAATTAAGAAGGTGCATCAGCAAATGAAGCTGTATGCAACAGGAGCAAACCCATCTACAGCACAAGCAACAGCAACAACATGACAGCATCAAGAGGAGCAGCGGAAGGAACAGCAGCAACGGCAGCGAAAGGAGAGGGCGCATCAGAACCAGCTAGCAATAGGAGCAGCACTAAGAGGAGCAGAAGCCGCAGGACGAGCATCGAAGACAGCGGTATCACAACCAGCGTCAGCAGCATCCGAGCAGAATCCCGAGCAGCAGCAGCACCCCTAGTGAGGAATCGTTAAGAATACCTGAGCTTTTTCCACTTTTGGTTTCCTAGTGCAATATTATCAACTAAAATGTGTGTCACTCCCTTTCCCATAGTAAGCGATATCTGTCCTCCATGAGCCACCAAAACCCTCTTCAGCTGTACAGCCTCAATCACCGCCTCACGTACACCAGAACCTCTAACAGAAGCAATAGTGGGTCCTCCACAGGCTCCATCAGGGGGTCCTCTAGAAGGAAGGACACCCGATACGCCTCCACCGGGGTCCCCAAGGGGGGCCCCTTCGGGCCCCCCCAAACTCGGCGCCCCGTTGCAGTACCCGGTAGAGATCAATTCAGCGCATTCGAGGCGCTGCAGACCATCAATGTAAAATGTGAGAGATTTAAAAAGAGATGAAGGACGTTCTATGTACTTATTCCACCAAGAAGCCTCCCTGCTGTCATTGCTGCTGCTGCTGGAACTGCTGCTGCTGCTGGAACTGCTGCTGCTGCTGGAACTGCTGCTGCTGGTGGTTTCGCGCGCACGCTCGGAGGCGAGGGAGCGTTGCAGCTGTTCGTTGACTTTGTGAGTCTTTGCCTGGATGTAATCCCCCCAGCCGCTCCAATTTCCGCCCCCAAACATCTGCTGCTCCTGCTTCAGCAACAGGTGCAGCTGCCAGAAGCAGCTCGCAATTGGGCTGTCGGCACCAGCTGCAACTGGAACTGGTGGAAGCAGCTCCTGCAGCTGCAGCTGCTGATAGTGTGAACAAGCCCGCTAGGAGCACGAGGCCGTCTTGTTTCCCCGTTGCACAGAAAGCACTCCGGTGCTAGCGGTAAGCTGCCGAAGTTAGGTAACAGCTGATAAAGAGTCAGCGATAACACAATGATCCCTTTGCGGTGTATGTTCACCAACGTGGCACAGGCGCTGGCGGCGCAGCAGGTCTTGAGCAGAGTCTGCTTGTTGCCGCGTTGCTACTGGCTCTGTTTTGGGTATTTTGACCGTATAAGGTTATTAAACAACTTCTGAATTAAAACATAAACTAAATAATTACGTGGTTTCTAGATCAAGAGGGGGCCCCATGGTGGCTGCTACGTCTGGCCGCTGTCTGGTGGAGAGGGGCCCAGGACTACCGACGGAGCAAGGATGTGCCTCTTCTTCCGACTTTAAACGAATGGTTTAATTGACAGTTTGTGGTTTTATTTCGGCTCTTTCTGAATTTGATGCATTATCTGCTTTTATAAGATCCTCTGGGGCTCCTACTACGACGGAGTGGGGGGGCCCAACGCCCCATGCCCCTTTCTTGAGTGTCTTCTATTGCTGCAGAAGCGACAAGGAAAGCCCTAGTAGCAGTATAATACAGAATAAAGTGGTGGAATATCCAGCAGCTTCTTTTGGAGCAGCGGAAACTGCATCGAATATCCCCAACGATTGCCCTGGGCATCGGGAAGAAGGACCAACGGCAGCAGCAAAAGCGGCAGCAGCCCGTAGCTGCACAGAATGGTAGCAGCTTCGGATTCCTTCCATAGTGCAGATGATGACGGCTCTCGTCATCGTTTCGGGGCAAACCCCAAGAACAGAGGGGCCCCCAAGCACCAGAGGGGACCCAAGAACAAAGGGGGGGCCGGAAGGAGAGACGGGGGCCCCTTTCCTTTGAAACTGCGGCAGCGGGAGAAGCAGGAGATTGCAGAGCTGCACCAGCGAATCCTGCTTGAGATGCCACCTCCCGGGGGCAAGTGGCTCCCACCTTCCCTGGCAGCAATCCAGCAGCAGCAGCAACAACAGCCGGAAGAGTCAGATGGAGCCAACCATGACAGCAACAACAACAACAGCATCAACCGCAGCAGAAGTAAGGGTAGGGGTGGGATTCTGACGGAGATGTTGTTCTCGGATTTGCCCTTGTCGGGATTGACTCAAAAGGGTCTATCTGCATGCGGCTTTACGCAGCTAACACAAGTACAAGCAGCAGTCATCCCGCATGCACTTGCAGGCAGAGATGTGAAGGCACAGGCTAAGACAGGCAGCGGGAAAACGCTTGCCTTCGTTATCCCGGTACGCCAAGTGCCCCTGCTGGTGTAGCTGCTGCTGTTGTTGTTGGTGCTGTTGCTGCTGCTGTACTACGGCTGGTGCTGCGGTTCCTTGTGCCGCCACTGCTGTTTATACTGATGCTTCTGCTCGGCACTGTGACTCAATAGCCTCTCAGTTGTTACTGCTGTACACTCACTGGCTTTTTGTTGTTGCTGCTGCTGCTGTTGGTGCTATTGCTACGGGTGCTGCTGGCGCAGCAGCATCCGTCCGCTTTGCGCCTGTGTGCGTTTTGCCGTTGCTGCTGCGAGCCCGCTGCTGCAGGTACCGCTTCATGTGGTGCATATGCTGCATATGTTGCATTTTCTACATTTGTCATTTTGCTGCTGTTGCTGCTGCTGCTGCTGTGTTTGCTGCAGATACTGGAGAAGTTGTTTCAGGAAGAGATAAGTGGCATGGATGGGACTGTTGCAATTGTCTTAGCCCCTACACGAGAACTCGCAGTTCAAATCTTTGATGTCTTCAGAGGCGTCGGACAGTAGGAACCAATAACCTTGCTGCTGCTGCATCATGTGCTGCTGCAGCTGCTGCTTGTGGTGCTGTTGCTGCCGGAAGACCTGCTGCTATACCTATGGCTGCGGCCTTCTCTGTTTCGGTGGTGGCTGTATGTGCTGCATCACCTGCTGACACAAGCACTGCCGTACCTGCTTCCTCTATTGTTGCTGCCGCTGCAGGTATCACGAGATGTCCATTGGTTGCCTTATAGGGGGCAAAGACTTGCAAGCAGAAGCAGAAAGAGTCGGGCAGCTAAACATCGTCGTTGCCTCTCCAGGCCGTCTGCTGCAGCACATTGATGAATCCCCCATGTGGGACACCAGCAAACTGATGATATTAGGCAAGTTTCCGCCTCATATTGCTGCTGCTGTTGCTGTTGGTGGTGGTGCAACTGTTGCTGCTGGATTGCTCCTTTTGGAGACGTCTTGAATTGCACAATTGAATCGGTATCCCTCTGCTGCGTCAACAACCGTTTGCCTCTTATTCTGTCTACCTGTTGCCGTAAACACCTGTCTCTTATTATTTTGCCATCTTGTTGCAACGGGTGCTTGTTTTCTCACCCTCTTTTTTTCCCGTGTGGCAGCTTTCTGCCTTCTCCTTCTGTTGCTTCATCCACCTCTCTCTTCGTAGCAGCGGCCGTCTATCTATTCTCGTGTCATCTTTGTGCTGAAGCAACCCTATATCTCCACGTCTCCTCTTATGCTGTCTCCTCGTCCTTGTCTGTCTCCTCTTTTCATGCAGCTATCGACGAGGCAGACCGTTTGTTAGATTTAGGCTTTCTCGATGCAATCAAGTCCATTGTATCATCTTTTCCTTCTTCCAGACAAACCCTTGTCTTCTCTGCTACCCTGAACAGCGCAGTGCACCGGCTGGGGCTGCTGCTGTGCAGCAGCAACCCCGAAGCCATCTGCACAGACAACTCGCAACAGCAGCAGCAACTCCTGCTGAAACAAACCTACATGGTCCTGCAAGCAAAACACAAAACATCTGCCCTCTTCTCTATCCTTAGAGCGCAGTGCAAGAAGAAAATCTTGGTGTTTGTCTCTTCATGCAAACAAACCAAGTTTATACACGACGCCTTTAAACTCTTGAAGCCTGGTTAGTCTGCGCTGCTGCCATGGGTGCTGCGGATGATGAGGATGCTGTTGGTGTGCTACTTTACCTGCTGCTGTTGATGCTGGTATTGCTGCTCCTGTCGAGTTTGTTTTACTGCTTTTGCGAAGCTGGCGCACTCGTTCATGTTGTTGTTGCTGCTACCTATTTTTTGGTTTTTGTCTCCTCGTTGCTGCTGTGTGTGTTTCCATATGCTGATGCACAGTGCAGAGTGTTTGTTGGGGTGCTGCATTTGCTGTGTTGTTCTGTTACTTTCGCCGTTGTTACTACTGTCGCTGCTGCGGCTTCTGGTTGATGTGTTTTGGGTGGGCCGGATGTTCTCTTGTATGGCCGCACCAGCCGCTGTCGGAGACAGTTGTATCCCTTTTGCAGCACAGCAGCGGGAAACTCTCAGACCCAAGGCAGCGACGGATGCTTCTTTTGTTCTTGGCTTGTCTTCTCTCGGTTCGTTTGGAGGTTTGGTGTAGATATCTCTTGTGTGCGCCAGTCTTCGCTTTTGCTGCTGCTGTGCTGCAGGCCTGTCTTTGCTGTACCTGCACGGGCGGCAGAAGCAGCAGAAGCGCCTTGAGGTGTTCCAAGATTTCGTGTCCCGCACTACTCCCTGTTGTCTCATCAGCACAGACTTGGCGGCTCGTGGCATTGACTTTGTGGTGCAACAGCAGAGGCCCCGGGGGCGCACGGGATCGGGATCGGGATCACAATCCGTATCAGGGGAAGGCGAAGGGTCTTCTGCTGTGGACCTCGTGGTGCAGTTTGACTGTCCAGACAGCGTAGAGACTCATATACACCGCGTGGGGAGAACGGCGCGGCTGACGCGCAAGGGCCAGGCGGTGCTGCTGCTGCTGCCTTCTGAAGTCTCCTTTGTTGAAGACCTGCAGGCGAGAGGGGTTCGCGATATCCACTTGCATGTACACCGCGGAATGCAACATGCCCATACACCGCCAGTCGCACCGCTGAGAAACCCGCCTGAGCGGTGGCCTTTTGCTGCTCCTGCTCCTGCTAATGCTGGATCTGATGTTTCTGTTGTTGCCGGTGTTGTTGTTTCTGGGTTTCGTGTTGTCTTCTGCTGAGCGTGTTGCGGGGGGGCCGCAGCTGAAGGCAGAATCCACCGTGCTGTAGTTGATTGTTTCGTCTTTGCTGTTGCTATTCTTTGTGGTATCCTTGCTGCATGAGCTGGCAGCACCGTCTGTTTATAGCTGAAATCCTATCCCGTAAACCCTCAGCCCGAGAAAACGCTGCGTCTGTCCTGTGTTCTTCTCAGATGGTCCTCCAAAGAACAAACATAAACCCCAAACGAGCGATTCGGATAGAAAGCAAACTTCAGGCTCTCCTCGCAGCAGAGTACGTTTGATTTAGAACTTAAAGTTTAGGTTCTACTATGCATGTATTGAGGAGGGCTGCTTGCTTCCGCCAAGAGCCGATCTTCACTGTGTCAGGAAGGGGTCGTTGTTACAGCAGTTGGTGCAGTCGCTGCTGCTGGCCTTGCCGTTTCTCGAGCTGCACCTGCGTTTGTTGCCACTTTTTTGGATGTTCATTTCGTATGTTGCTGCTGCCGCGTCTTGTGTGGTGCTGCTGATGCAGTGCCTCGCTGAAGGCTTTGGCCCAGAAAGCGGTTGCCTCTTATTTGCGGTGTCTTTCTGTCATGGCGAACAAGAAAGTATTCAACCTCCAAGCGCTTGATCTGGAGCAACTCGCTCTCTGCTACGGCCTCTCCATTGCACCCTCCATTGAGCACTTGACAGACCAGCAGAAGCAGCAACAGCAGCAAGGGGATGAAAGTTCCCCCGCCTTCAGCGGGGGGGCCGTTGCTAGCGGAGAACACAAAAAAAAGAATATGTCGAAATTGGCGAGACTTAAGGTACGCTATGCATTTGAACTGGCAGCAACGCTTGTTGTTGCTGCTGCTGTTTGTGCTACTGGTGCGGATGTGTTCGATTTGTTTTTTCACCGGTCTTTCCGTTTGTTCCATTTCTGGTGACATCTCAGGAGCAGATCCGTGCAAAAAAGCTAATGAAGCAGCAGCAACGAGAACAGCAGCAGCAACAACAACAGGAACAGCAAGAGCAGGAAACGCAGCCAGGGGAGGAGCGGGGGGCCATGACGAGCACGAAAAAAGGAAAGGATAAACAGAAACAGCCATGCAGCACAATCAGCATGGGAGACAACGAGGGAGAGGACTTCTTGGAGTTGAAGCAGCAGGACACCGATCTGCCTGAAGATTCTGCCAAGCTTAAAAATCAAAGGCTGCAGGAACTACTGCTGACAAAACCCGGTATGCGGACTGCTGCTCTTCTCTATCTCGCTGCTGCTTGGATTGCTGTTCGTGGTTTCATTGCTTTTTGTCTTGCTGCTGTTCGTCTTCCTGCCTGTCACTTTCTCTGTCTTACCGTGTTGTCATTTACCCTTCTGTATATCTCCTGTGTTTTTATTGTTTGTGAAGGGGTGTGTGTCAACCACTTGCAGTCTTCATTATCGTCTATCGGCTGTGTGTATCAACGCTTCGTGTGCCGCTGCTGCAGCTTACCGGCGCGAGAGGCTGCAGTTCAGGGCAGACGGCACTGCAAAAGTGAAAGGTCTTGCAGCGGCCTCCTCGAATTCCCACATCATTTTTAGTGAGGAGGAGGAGGAGACAGACAAAGAGGTTACACCATCACACGGCCTCCCCACACCCAGCAGCAGCAGCGGGAAGGTGACACAAGAGCTGCGAGAGGCGTTTCTTCAGCAAATGCGGTCCAAGATGGAATCTGTACAGCTCAGCGACAAGGTAAGGTTAGGTTAATACAGTGGCAGGAAATGAGTAGCAAACAGAAGCAGAGGGAGCTGAAGACGAAGAGGATGGAAGCAGCCACCTCAGAGGCATGGGCTGCTAAAAGACATGCAGTTTGTATTTGGGTCAGCAAGCGTCCTTGGAGTTCGAACAGTTGGCATAACCGAAGTGTTCTTAGGGGCTATTCTTTGTGCCAGGCTCGAGACCGAGAAAGAGTTAAAGACCGGCATTTGAAGAAAAGGAGAAAAGAGAGGAAGGCCAGACAAGGAGAGGCAGCGGGTGAGGAAGCATGATGGCACCCATGTTATCTTACTGGTTTTGCTGCTGTGATTGCTGTTTCTGTCTGATGTTGCTGTCGATGTCACTGCGTTTACCGCTTTCCTGTGTGCTGCGCCTGGCTTCTCTCTGGGTTGCTGCTGCTGCGGGTGCTGTTGCGAATGATGCTTTGGTTGCTGCTACTGCTGATTGCATAGAGCCGTGAAGCATGCAGTTGTTGTGGTGGCTGTTGTGCAGCCGGTGGCGTTACTTTGCTGGACGCCGATAGCGGCAGCGGCAGTAGCGACGAGGGGGCGCTGTCGGACAACCGCTTGGGCCTAGAAGGAGACTTAGAGGAGGAAATTGAAGAGAAAAAAAGTACAGAAAAACCAAAAAAGAAACAGAAAACGGAGGAGTTATCCTTAACAGAGCTTGAAAAACTTGCTCTTGAGGGGGCGTCGCTTTGATGTCCACGCATGTGCACTTCATTTGTATGCGAGATGCAGGCGCATACATTTTATCTGCATGCTTGATGCGTGCGCATGCATTCGATCAACTTGCATGATACATGTGCATGCAAGCAAGCAAGATGCATGCAATGGCATGCATCTCTTCTTGAGTATGTGTTAGAAGGGTTCGAGACTGGTTGGTATTGTGCTATAAATGAATCGACAGTCATTCCTCCTTCTAACTTTGGCTCATTTCCGACAGAGGTACTTTAACAAAGTTGCTCTCCCACTGCGTATCTTTCCGTAAGAAGATTCAGGCAATGCAGTGAACGGCCATAAAGGGGCTAAGTGCATAGTATGCAGTGATACTGATCACGTTATTCCATAAGAAACAACTACATTATAGTGTGATTATGACTATGGTTGAGAGTGGGTGACACCGCGCCTTCTAAGGCAGCAACGTTTTAACCGTAGTAGGTTTTGAGGAAATCCGACGCTCATCGGGAATTTGCACGTAGGGGGATTTTTCTTCTTTCTTTGGGGGTAGTTTAGTTGGAAATTTAGTGGTCAATACATCACTAGGTAGAGGGAGGAGGGGATAAAAGATGCTTCAGCTGGGAGCTGTATTCGACAGGCCTCCTGTGTTGGGAGGTATATGGCTTTACACAAACGTAGATGTAAACAATTTTTCAGCTGCAACTGGTGTTATTGACCAGCAGCAGGCGGCGGTGTCCGTTGTAGAACTAGCTCCCGCTACACGACGTATATTAATAATGAATTGGGAATTTTTAAAATACCCAGTGAAATGCTGCGCAGCCACCAGTCACCTTGCAGACATGTGCGAGAGAAGCACATATTTGCACACGCCACGCAACACGGTGTAAAAAGCATGCGCAATCGCACATGCAGGGCTCTCTGCACGAGTTATTCGGATTTACCGTCAAATATGCGTAATTCGTATGAGGCGAGTTTAGGGAGGAAACGGTAAAGTTGCAATGAAAGCGCAGCTATTCCAGAAAAGCCCCACAAACTGCGCACAGCGGCTGCCGGTCGGCAGCGGCAGCGCCTGCGCCGAAATACTCCTCCTCTAGCAAACTGTTGGAAACTCGTCTTTTCTTCTCGCTAGAAACAAATTAATAAGACGACCTGATCACAACAAGCAGATATTCCTCGAGGTAAGCTGCGATTTAGCAGCATAACCTCCTGCTTTCGTTTGCTTTGGAGTTCGCATTTCCATGCTGGACAACCCCTGGCTCATGCACGGGTACCGTTTACGGAACTGTGGCTCTTTTCGGCTTGTGTTTCTGTTGAACTTCTTCAACTACATTAATGTAGCCAAATAATATCTTTTAGAGCGCAATGCTGACATCGTTTGTCTTGCCACCGTCTGCCTTTTTCAGGCCGTTTTTTCGCCCTGCTTGCCCCGCTCTTGCAAGAAAGCTGAGTTTTAACGTCAGCCACTTCAGGACATTTTCTGCCTTTACAATGGCTCCAACAAGCGCCAGCGAAGTGCCGAAATGGGTTGATGATCTCGTCGATGGACACAAGATTATGGTGTTCTCGAAGAGGTATGTTCAGCGCGTATCTGACTGTTCGCTGGAACCAAGCGAAATATCTACTGTTTCCCTTTTGCTTTAGGAGAAAATAAAGATGAGGTGCTTTAATCAATTAATTCGCTGTTTCATTTGCTCGTAAATGGCTTTTTTTGCAGCTATTGCCCCTACTGCCAGCGGGCGATCTCTGCGCTCTCGAGTCTCAACGTCAGCGACATGGCGAGTGGAACACAAATCCGTTTTCCCCTGAATTCACACTTTTGTTGCGCATAAACGCGCTATTATGGCATATAGTCGTTGAGTGTGTTGCTTGAACACATGGGGACAGGACTACTACGTTTGCCCAGTCGATTTGAATGGCGTATGCTTTGTTTAGAAGACCGCTGTCACGAGCTTAAACGAACTCCTCATGGACTGAACAACACCGATTATACACATTCAATATTTCATCATGTGTTTGCTAGCTTTTGCCGAAGTTTTGTGCTGTTCGTTTTCCAGCACGTGCAGCATTTCTATTCTTCTAGACTTTGATTACTTGCTCGTGTGCTACGTGTGGAGCAGATTAAAGCACCTGGCATATATTGTTGTCATTCTGCAGCATTTGTTGTAGTTCCAGAGCACTTAACGTACTGTCATTGTTTGTTTCGCTGCATGTTGAGCATGTTCATATCAAACATGATGCACACAGTCTGCAGCCAAATTCCCTCTAGTTAGTATATGCATGGTTACTGTTGATTTTGCTGTGTGTTGAGCATCTTTATATCGTGTATTATTGCTGGTTGCCTTGCAGCACGTAGAGCAGATCGAAAATAATCCTTTTTGTGATGCCATTCAAGATTACCTCAAGACCAAAACAGGCGCGCGCTCTGTGCCTCGTGTGTTTATAAATGGAAAGTTCTTTGGAGGTGGCGATGATACTGTAAGTAAATAATATACAGAGAAAATGCATATTTTGTTTGTGTTTAATTTGCCACGCATATTCAGGTTCCGCCAGCAGCGCAGTGCTGTAATGGGTGCTGAAGACGACTCCACGAATTTTATCAAAAGCCCCTACTCAGCCAATCGAAAAATGTTTGCTAATTAGCTTTAAGCGAATTTTCCTCCAGTGCTTTGTTCTAACTTCATTACAACTTTCTCTTTCTTTGTTCAGGTCGAAGGAGTCCGGAGCGGCACTCTCCAGAAGTTGCTTTAGGCCGACCTCCTACTGCGAGGTCAAAAATGTGTAGATGGCTCCCGTATGAAGTGTATTTAAGGCGTGTAGTCGTACATTAAGTGGGTGTATGTACGCATGTAATATCGAATATTCAAACGCGCATGGACATATACTACGTTCAGCGACACCTTGTTATCAAGGAGTCCCCCTTCAGCACTTCCATGTAAACTGTTGGCCCCCAGCCTTTTTCTCTAAGCTTTTTTACCTCAGGTGCCCCAAACATAGATAGTACCTCCCAAATCCGATTACTAGTTGTAGGTTGAAGTGGGCCTCGAGATGGGCAGGTAGTGTCTGCTGCGACAAAAGAGCGAACCGACCGTTCTCTGTTGCTTTTGTGCTGCTAGCCCCTTACTAATTGTACCTTGAAGTGGCCGTCTCGAGATGGGCAGGTAGTGTATGCTGCGACAAAAGAGCGAACCGACCGTTCTCTGTTGCTTTTGTGCTGCTAGCCCCTTACTAATTGTACCTTGAAGTGGCCGTCTCGAGATGGGCAGGTGTATGCTGCGACAAAAGAGCGAACCGACCGTCTTCTGTTGCTTTGGTGCTGCTAGCCCCTTACTAATTGTACCTTGAATTGGCCACCTCGAGATGGGCAGGTAGTGTATGCTGCGACAACAGATCGAACCGACCGTTCTCTGTTGCTTTGGTGCTGCTAGCCCCATACTAATTGTGCCTTGGAGTGGCAACCTCGAGATAGGCAAGTAGTGTCTGCTGTGACGACGTCGGACCAACCGTTCTTCGTTGCTTCGGTGCCGCCACCCCTCTACGATAACGATATATTACTGTCCGTACTGGGGTCCAACACACTGTAATGCTATCCACCCGTAACAGAATATTTACGGCACACCCGCCTCCTAGACCAACCGTAACCTCGTGCTCACCTAGCGGGCTATAGCAACAATCTGGCTCTGCCAAGCATTCATGACAACTAGACAAGCAGTGTTTAAACTGAAACTTGAAGCCGTTTTTTCGGTCTTGCAGAAGACAGTTGTCTCCGTAATGTCGACAGGCTTACACACAGGGGGGAGTCAAAGCGCTGGGTTTGCGTCTTGGGCGCATAGCCCCCGCACTACGGCCCCAAAACAGATCTGACAAAGGATTTGTGCATGGAATACGTTGCAAGCAACATATATGCACATGATCATTCAGCGCTCGTGGCACAACAGAGCTGCTGCGGCTCCGGTCTATTTACTGCTTGTCCTCAGTGTTGTTCTCACGGTCTCTGAGAGCACCGGGGAGACCCTCCTTCAAACCGACGATGGTAGCCAAGGCAGCCTCATCAATGTTGTTCTGGAAGCCCTTGAGGAAGTTGAGGTACTCGGGGTCCTTCATGATCTTCTCCATGGTGGCGGGCCAGTTCTCATTGACTGTCTGGATCATGCTGCGCATCACTGGGTCGACCAGAGAGGCACCGAAGGATTCCCTCTCCTCGGGGGAGATGAGACCAAGACGCACGAAAGCATCGATAACCTTCTCCAACTCCTCAGTGCTCATCTCGTCGTAGTTCAACTGCATGCCGAGGGCTTCAGGGGAGAAGGAGTTCCAGTCGATCTTGCCTCCCTCAGCGTTAAAAATGGCGCTGATGTCTGAACAAAAACAAAACGATCAAGACCCGAAAGCAATGAAGCACAAAAGCATCCCCACAGACGCCAAACCAAAATACACGCAAGACCCGCACCTCCGCGCCCGAATGACGACAGACCAGCACGGCGACAGACGAACAACGTATTCCAATAGAACGGGCCACTGCTAAATGCACAAGATGCTTCAAGAGAAAGGAAACATCGACGCATCCTCTACGAGAAGAGGGCGCAACGTTCCATTCCTTGAAGCGCCCCATAAACGGCCCTCTCCCTCGCCGCTGACTGTAACAGCAGGAAGGGTTCTACGGTCCGGTTGTTCCGCTTTGCACGTAAACAACGGGCGATACGATGAATGAAAACGATGGACCAAGTACAAGAAACAACAGACTCACCCTCAGGAGCAGCGCCTTCAGGCTGTGCTGCAGCGCCCCCTTCAGCAGGAGTAGGCTTTTTCTCGTCCTCCGATGCATGGACGGCGGCGAAAGCGCCAAAAGCCAAAGCAAGGATAGCTCCCTTCATTTTCGAACGCGTTAAAAACTTGACTGTAAGCAAATCCGTACGAGAAAACACGCAAATACTCATCTGATTAACGCGCATGATGCAGCAACCACCCTACAGAGAGCAGGGGCAGCCAGCAGCGACGGAGGAAGGGAGCGACGCGCGGCGCTGCCGGTGCACAAAGCCGCGGTGCTGAGTCCAGCGTCTGCTGTGCGCTGCCGCTTAAAACCCTTTCTTTTCGCTGCTTTCTACTCTAAAACTTGCTTCTTATCCTTGCTCAGACATTTAACAATCAAATTCACAAACAAACGCACCCTTTTTTTTAACTCCCGCAATAGGTACAATAGCCCAAGGGAGGTGGGGGGGAGGGAGCGGCAGGGGCAAGCCGTACACAGCGATGCGTGCAAGGGCTAGAGAGTTGTGCAGTTTGTCGCGGTGTTTTCGTGCTTTTTATAAATAGACTTAGAGGGACTGACGGATTCGTGTGCGTTTAACCCTGCACTTAACTCCAAAGTGCCCCTCCATACGAAGCAAACTCAAAAGGTTGTCGCGCCGGCACAGTCAACATCTCGTCGCCCGTCTCCCTCCTAGCGCCGCCGTTAGTGCGCTATTTGGTCTTGGAATTAATAATACATTATATATAAAGAGAAAGTGACTGAGACTATTTAGCAATTTTATTGAAGAATCTCGCTGCTCCTGCAGATGCCTGGTCCCCCGGCGCCGCATTGCCTTCCGTTGCGAATGCACGTACGCGTGGAGAGAAGGATCACTACAACAAAGTAGACACGAATAGACAAAGACATTTTGAATCATTGGTCCATTCCTAGTAGTCTTCCTTCCTAAGATAGAGGGAATTGGCCAGAGCTCTGAATAACGACATCCAAGAGGGCCCATGTGCAGAGTGGGTCATGAGCCATAACCAAAGACCGCAAAGAACTTCCGAAGAGCCAAAGTATCTGAGGCAAATGTTTTTCAAAAGTAGCTGACTTCCATCCTCAACCTTCAGATGTTCTGCACACAGTGCCCGAAGCGCTTGGAGCTCCTGGAGCAGAGGTGGCCTTCTGCTGAATTGCAAAGACACGGCGCAGCAGGCGTGACAACCCACCTTTCTGCAGCTTTTGCCGCATAACAACGCCGTATACGAGCCCAATAAAGCCACACTGTGTTGCATACAACAACAATGTTACAACTGTCGAGGTTGGTCCTCGAACGTTAGCCTGCACGCAATTTGTGATCCGTGGAGAGACACTGCTCAGACAATGTTAAACTTGCCGCCTCTCCATTTCAATGGAGCCAATTGCTCTCTAGAATGCGTGAGACCCAAATCTACCAAATAACTAAACATAATATGAAGGGGAGAGTGGCATGGGAGGTTGCTTAGCCGCTATGCTGCTGCCACTTATCACCACTAGCCGTTGTAGAGGGGATCGCTCAGCGAAGTGATCATTAGTCGATTGAGGCTGCTTTGGCCTCACTCGACGGGCTGCCAATCAACTAGGAGGCTAGGTTTGGATGCTCAACTATGGAAGAGCTACGTAGCCGCAGTAACAGGGGGCAACTCATCCTATTAAAGATAGTGCAGCAGTGGTACTGCCGCTGCAGCAACATCTGGAAAAACCCGGGCTGGCGTGTGATCATCCCCAGGGGGCGGTGTGCTGCCCCAAAATATGAATAAACTAAAACGGTTGTGGGCATCGGCGACGATGTAACTGTAGATAGAGGTCATGCGGAGATCACATGGGCACAGTATGGAGGGCGTCAGAGTTTGCACGTAGCAAGGTATCACCGTCTCGTTACTGCGTGAGCATATCTTGCTTACTAGTCCAGAATTGCCCAAATCCCCGCAGCTCTGCAGATATGCAGACTTGGAGCGGTCACGGATTAGTCGAGCAGGGTACGTAGATGTTCCGGGATATTTCGTTCGCACAAACACTCCTCAGAAAGTCATTCGAGTAGTTGACTTTTTGTACCGCTATTCATTGCTTACACTGGTATGATTAGTCTCATTCCCCTTCATTTTCTGCCATATAGCTGTTAGAGTTCTAGAGTATTTCAATGATTCCCCAAGGTGCACGACAATATTAGTGTTAGGTTGGCATTTCCTTATCAGGGATATGCCGATGCTACACGCCAACCCACTAACCCGGAGATGAACACGAAAACGTCCTCTACAGTGCATGGCCAACATTTGTCGGTTTTCGACTTTCTCTGTACTTCAGAGAACGTGCGAATCCACCCAAACACTGTCTTTTGGATTTGGAGGTGACGCGTGGAGAAATTGCTTCTTTCACCGCAACTTCTTAGCATGCAGCCCTGTGGCTTTCTCTTGAGTTCCTGAGCTGCCGTATTACTGTCTGTGCGATTTTGACAGGCCTGTCCGGAGAGGGCGCATGAACCCTTAGCCCGGTACGCACGGTGGAACTCCCAATAATTGTTGACAGTGCTCCAACTAGCAGCTAAGAAGGCTTGTTGGTGCTTGTATGCAGTGCTGTCCTGCACTCACTTGTAGCAAGGTGCTTTACAACTCATGGCAAGCCGCTTCCTCTCCCGCAACAACAGGCGCTTGGGCCGTTGAGCTTCGGTCACCGGGGGACTGTTAAAGGATGTCCAGAGCATTTAAGGAACTCCATGTGAAGTGTTTTGGATCAATTGCAGCTCACCGTAGGCCTCGGGTAAGATTGCGGCCCCAAGTTACAAACGTTTGTGGGAACATAAACCAACGAGCGGGCGGCGGGCATGCAGGACTAACACCGGATAGGCCAATAGGATTTCGGTGTAAGAGTGCCCGGTCGAAGAATGTACTGTTGCACTATTGACCCATTCCGCACAAGGAAAAGATTCAACCCACTTTTTGTGAACTTCGCTGGCGAATGGTTCTCATATATTGCACCAGAATGCGGTTTAGCGCCTTAAGGCATACTGTCTGCCTCCGGGTTCTTAGCGGTGGCCATGTAATGGTCGATATTAAGCAAGTGAATGTATGATAGCCAGAAGGCCGCAACCAACGTGGGATCGTTGTCAGTGGTGATGCCTTTGGGGAAATTATAGACCTTCCACACGTGGCAAATGAATAATGAGGCCGCAACCTCTGCTGTATCCAAAAGGGAACGCGACGTGCTGAGGGCATATTTCCAAGGCGATGCAGAAGCTATCGTAGAATAATGGCAACTCCACTATACAGCCCATTGGGATTTACATCCATATCCCTTCGGGCATATGCATGTTTTGCAAAACTCCGGGTTTGCGTGTGGCGCGTGGCTTCTGCTGCTGGGATCCCGCGTACGTAATAATGCATGCCCACGATAATGGGCTCATCCTAGTGTGTCATATTGGCCCGTCCAAGGCATGTCAAGGCGTCAGCGCGCGTTTGCTTAGCACTTTTTTACACAATGGAGCTTGAACATAAAATCGGCAGTGTTCACGTTTCGCGAACCTCCCCTCGTTACTGCAAGGCTTCACCAGCCTACCATTGTTGAACACAGCTCTTTGTGGCCCAGGTCAGTCCGGATTGCCTTTATGAAGGAGTTGCAGCAGAGCACAGCTCGCTGCAACTCGTCCTGCTGCGCAGCTCTAACCACAACAAAGCCATGGTGCTGCATGCACTAACTCCTTGCCACCTGCTTGGCTCTCAGTTGCCCACCTGCACTGACTTCAGAAAGATCGTTGTCAGCATGCGTCTCGCCCTCCGCAAGGGCAAGGGAGAACAGTGGAAGCAGACGTAAACTACAAGTAAACTTTAGAATCAGTAAAAATCTTTTGCAGGAGACTAACGAGCTGACAACAGATGGGTCAGCAGGATTGTTTGCTACACCCTGGAGTGTGTGCCCTGTCTAGTGATCACCAGCCAGCAGCTAATGCCATACAGGGACGCCTGGTTAACCAGGTCCAGCTAGCTAGCCATGTCCAGCTGCAGCTGTCGCATTGCATTCTCAGGAAGCCCTGTAACAGTCTTTGGCCGCTGTGTTTTTGTTGCAGTTAGGAGTAAAGTGGAATGAAACGAAACAAGGGGCAACCAGCACATTACAATGGATGATGTACACACATGGCAACACTTCTACGAAGGGGGGTTATCTCCTTATCGCTACACTGTTTTGACTTCTACTGCGATGACTCTTGACTTGTGTTTGTCTACGGCATGTCTGGTGGCTTGAGAAAAAAATTTCTCTCCTTTAGAGGAATCAAATTCGGAGTAAAGGTTGCCGGGGTTGTCGTGAGGTGTACCTACACCCTAGCATGTTTTGCATTGTTTGCTGAATGGGTGCAAAACAAACTCAGCAAAACAATAGGAACTTTTAGCTAAAGTAAATTAAGAACTTCGCTGTGCATAAACAGACAGATAGTAAAGACGGAGATTAGCTATGTTATTTCTCCTTCTCTCTTTTTTATATTGTCATTTAATTTCTTGTATACCGTTAATAATCGAACTTCGCCAATTGACGCGCGCGAACCCCTTCAGCGTTTTTGTTGCTTCCGTAGTTCCCCTTGCTGTTTTTCTTTCGATTCTGCTGCTGCACTCTCTTCCTTACAGTGTCGCGTGTGTGCCTGCACATGCAACATAAACAGCCTTGGCAAGTCCTCTTGCTGCTGCTGCTGCTGCTGCTGCTGCTGCTGATGCTGCTGCTGTCCACGTGCTGCAGCAGCAGGGAAAGAGGAAAGCGTCAGGTTTACCTTCGAGCTGCTGGTCGCCAGCAATGAATGAAGGCCTGCTGCTCTTCTGGTGTTAGAGGCTGACTAGAACCTTCTTCTACTTCCTCTGAGCCTGTAACACACACACCCAAGCTGCTGCAGCAGAACCATCATGCATGCATCAATCTAGTGCTGCAGCAAACGTCTAGCAGACGACAGTAAGTAAAGCAGCAATATATATATATATATATATA